CTGTGTGTTGTTTTTTTACTTATTTTTAACAGTTTTATTGGCATATAATTCATATAGCATGCAAGTCAATAGTTCAGTCATACTAAGAAGAATTGTACAATCATCATCACACAGTCCATTTTAGAACATTTTCTTCATTCTTGTACTCATCGTTATTAACTCCCCATTTCCCCCCAACTTCCCCTGCCGTGCCCCCAAGGAACCATTAATCCAGTTCCTGTCTCTATAGATTTACCTATTTCTGTTGATGAGTGTAACTATTTAATTTTTAAGGGATCCCATTTAATTAACTCATCTTCTGCTGTTGGTGCATTTTCAGTTATACTTGGAGTTCTTTTAGGTCATATACTAGTCTTGCTCCTACTTTTTCTTCTGTGATCTTCACAATTTTAGATTTTATATTTAGATCTTGTGTTCATTTTGGGTTAGCTTTTGTATATGGTATGAGGTATGGATCCTGTAGGATTTGTTTATAGCTAGATATCTAGTCTAATGAAAACATTTATTAGAGACTGCCTTTTCCCCACTAAATGAACTTTGGCCCTTTGTCAGAGGTCAGCTGTGCATCAGTAGATGTATTTACATCTGCATTCTTAATTATGTGCCATTGCTCTATGTGTCTGTCATTGTACCAGTTGTACTGAACTGCTTTGACTACCATGTTTATATAGTCGGTTTGTAGATTATGAGTTTCAGGTCTCCTACTTTGTTCTTCAATAAAGCTTTCCGTATCCAAGACTTCTTCTTTCCATATGAAATCGGTGATTCATTTTTCTATGCTGTTAGAGAATACTGTTCCAATTTGGATTGGGATGGCATTATATCACTTTGGGTAATATCAATATTTTCTCAATGTTAATATGGCTTCCTATCCACGAGCATGGTTAACATTTCCATTTATGAAGACCTCTTTTGGTTCTTTGAAGTAGTGTTTTATACATAATGTTTTGGGGTACATTGTTTACATTCCTCGTTAGATTTGTTCATATGTGTTTTAGTTTTTGGTGGGAAATTGTAAATGGTATTGTTTTCTTGATTTCTTTTTTTAAGTTTTCTTTGTTTGTTGTTTTTTTCCTAAAGTGGGTGATGCTGCTTCCTGGAGAATGCTGGAACAATAAAGGGGTTTTGCAAAAATGGATAGCTACATTTTATCCTGGATTACAGGCTAGAGTAGAAAAGCTTTTAATTACCAGGAGGATGTTGAATATTTGTTTTCTTCTGGAAAGAGGTCCTAGGCCAATATATTTGGGGTGGTATATTGTAGAAGAATCCAACTGAACTTTCTATGCCAAACTTGCATCCTGCTACTGCTGAGTCGGTCAATTAATTTCAGCAGCTTGACTGACGATAGTTTTACTTCTTTACAAATCTGAAGCCCCTTTATTGCCTTTTCTTGCCTTAATTGCTTTAACTAGGACTTCCAGTATAGTGTTGACTAAGTGTGATGTTAAAGAGAATCCTTGTCTGGTAAGGGGAATGCTTTCGGTCTCTGTCCTTTGACAGTGATA